TTTTTTTTCTTTTTTTTTTGGGATCAATTTTCATTTGTGCTGCAAAATTTTTTTTAATACAAGCAATTTTACTCTATCGAGAGTACAAACTATATATATATAAATAATGTTATATAATGCCGGTAATATATAAACTATATATATTACCGGCAAAGTTTGAAATCCGGCATTTTATAGAATGCCTAGGCATTGTATATAATACCTAAAACTAGCCAGCAATGTATGAAACGATTTATATTTCACACATTTTCTAGGCATTCTATAGAATGCCAAATGAGAAACAGGAGAAGTATAAAATCTTCTGTAGCCATGTTAGTAAAGGTGATGAAATGGATATTTTGTGCAATATTTGTTTCTAAACTGAAAATAATTGTGACTTAAATGTGAATTTTTCATGTGAACATTTTGTTTCCCATAATAAGAAAGACATAAATTATGTTTTGTACAACTTTCATTTTTCTTTACGCATTTTGAATAAATTTTTTTTAAATGGCACTCTCATTCGGAATAACATTTTATTTTTGAGAAATGAACATTATTTACATACTAACCTCATCAGTATGTTTTTTTCATACTTTGCCTAAATATCATTTGTCATTCTATAGAATACCTAGGTATTTTATACAATGCCTAGGGAAAGTATGTAATACTTCTCACATTTCATACTTAGCCTAAAATCATCCAGCATTCTATACAATGCCTAGGCATTCTATACAATGCCGGCGTTTCATACTTTGCCGGTAACATATATATTGCAGGGTATATTACAGTCGACAGCCGACCCAATTTAGGGTTTACGGCTACTAATGTTCAACTCTGTAGCCTTGTAATTTTGAACGCAATCCAGAAGACCTGGGAACTCCTGGATCAAGTATTGGGAGAAATTTGCCTTCATGGAGGACTTTTTGTTGGAACTAAGCTACATTTGGGTTACATAGAGAGGAAAACCTTCCACGGTTAGCCTGATGGCAAAGGGGCTCTTACGATCCGTCCCACGATCCGTCTACCACTGTGGCAATTTTACACCAGCACTGCTGTCGGTATGAGCTAGGTGCGGAATTCAAATCAACCAGCTATCGCTGGCATCGTACCCGGTTCACCGATTAGGACGCGAGTGCTCTATCCCCTGAGCCACAGCGGCTCAATACAAACTATAGAGTATTTTACATAGAAAATATTCCGTACTGGTTTTAAGAAATATACTGCGAAGTTCTCTAAAGAATTGAGTACTGGAAAAACTCTCCAGTCTTGCAATATTGTTTTTAATAATTTATTGTGGTAAATATTCATGCGTGAAATAAATTTTGTTTCATTTACTCAGCTTATCATTCGATGCATTTTCAATATTATGTATGACTAAAAAAATGCTTTAAATGCATCACTAAATTCTTGCCAAATTCGCCATGAATATTCGAGAATGCCATCAGACATAGTGTGAACATACAATGTTCTGAATTGATTCAGTCATAGTATTTGTCAAGTAAATTTAAAAAAATCATCAAAAACGTTTTCACTTAAGTGAAACTAAATGTTTGACTTGACTTCTTTTTTTTTTTAGGTATGACTGCAAACTGTTTGCTTTTTAATAAAGTTTTTTTATGGCAGTTTAACGATTATGAAGAATAAACTGGCATCAGCAAAAATTATTTTAATTGCATTATCATTTAAAATTAAACGTAAATTATTCCTGGGATTTTTTAAGGATATATTTAATATATTTATGTGTAGCAGTAATTAAAATAATTTAAATCACATTTGTTTAACTAAAAATTAAATAACGCCCAAACTTTAATACCACTTTAAATATTAAATTTAAATTTTAGCCGAAAATACTGGCAATTCTTCACACATAGTAATGAAAAGAATTAAACTTCAATCTCTATCATCTCTCTCTCTCTAATTTAATTTCAAGCAAAATAAAATACCAATATTAAGACGGAAAAAGTCGATGAATATTGACCGCTTGAAATAACATGTTAGCTGAGAGAGACAAACGGTAAAGGAGTGAACCACTGTGGAATGAGCGAGCGCTATGCAGCGGGTGAGTGCTATGGAGTGGGCGTCATTGAAAATAAATGTATGTACAAGGTTCCAACAATGTGCAGCAATTGATGATCTAATGAATTCTTATTGTCGGACATATCTATCGTGTTCCCTTAATTAAAATACTAAAGCATGACTGGATCTGATAGAATTTCAGTACCTAAATTGCTTTTGTTTTTTTCACCTTATACTAAAAATTATTTATTTTCTAAAAATCGAATCCCCGTAATTGTAGAAAGATACTTTCATTTTATTTTTGCAACTAACAACCGTGTTTATCAAATCGTAACAATTATTCATTCTCACTAACGTTGCACCTCTTCACATCATAATATTATTCTGAATTATCAAAATAACCTGGAATATTTGACATATCAAGGCTTTGTTCTGATTGTTTATTCGAGAGTTGAGANTTATTTATTTTCTAAAAATCGAATCCCCGTAATTGTAGAAAGATACTTTCATTTTATTTTTGCAACTAACAACCGTGTTTATCAAATCGTAACAATTATTCATTCTCACTAACGTTGCACCTCTTCACATCATAATATTATTCTGAATTATCAAAATAACCTGGAATATTTGACATATCAAAGCTTTGTTCTGATTGTTTATTCGAGTAAATTATAATTTATTACAAAGCTTCCCGTAATTTAGAATCCAGTTTCCCAAACACATAGTTTATTTGGCGATAAAACTAATTATACGCTTAATGAGCAAAATTGTTGAGTACTCTTATTTGCACAATGAATGACAACACATCTAAAACAAGCCTCCCATTGAAAACTTGGAGAGCTTATTCACCCCTCCCCTTACAATCACCGGCAACCCCTTTCTTAAGCGTGACTTTGCATTGTGTGAACTAAATTTCAAAACTTCAATACTTTGTTGGCGTAACTCATCAGTATTTCAAGCCTCAAGCGCCAAATAGGTGGGGGAAAAGTGCCAGAATATGTCCTCCATTTACATCCAATTAGATGGGAATCAATGTTATGCCTTTTCTGATCTTATTTGCATAAAAGATCTCATGGATTTGGGTAGCCGAAGCCTCTTTCAAAAAGTTCTTACTCATCCCTGTAATCAATTTTCAAGAGAGAAAAAGAGAGAGTATTCTGGAATTTAGAGGAAAAGCTGATCCCGTTTTATTTCATTTTAGTGTGCGCGGAAAGAAAAACTAGGAAAATTCAAATTTTTTCGGCTTTTTCCAGAAGCGATGGAAATCGATTTTTTTTTTCTTCCTCTATTTTTCTTGAGTTTGGAAATCTAATGGAAACTATGTTATTCAAAAGTTTTTATTGATTTTCAGGTACACGACTTGATTCACTGAGTAGGTTTGGGATTTTTTTTTCTTTAAAACTTCCACGTATAGCCTCCTAATTTTTTTGGTTTCTTTGTTTTTTTAACGGACAAACTTAAAATGCAAGTGTTAGATTTGATATTACTCAAAAATATATAAATTATGATTAAAGAAAATGTTTCTATTTTATTTTCTAGATGATTAACTAAATTTTTAATCTATTTCTAGAGCATTCATTGCATTGCCATAATATTCACTTAACTTCTAATAAGGTCACTAATTTTTTTAAGGAAATATTCACTGAATTTCCAGTTTTTTTCGGAATTTCTAACATAACCACAACAAATAAGTTTTACTTAATAAATAGGTCAGCTCTGATAGTATAAGAGCCTTAATGTAGGATTTGGGAAAATATACGCCACATTTTTTAGGAACGCACATTGTTTAGGATAGTTATTTAAATTTAGAAAAAAATTTAGTTCTTTCATCCCAAGTCCTTCGTATTAAAGTAGTTACACAATTCTTCACTAAATCTTGTAGGAAATAGTACCCATTACACGCTTAAATTGTTTGATTAATAATAACTTAATAACAACTTAATAATGTTTTTCAAAGATCTTTCCCCAACTTAACAATGTTGTTCAAAGTTTTTCCGGTAAACATCGTTTTTAAAGCTCTTTTACCATTTAAAAAAGTTTTTTAAGGCTCTTCCGCGAACTTAAAAATGTCTTTAAAAGCTCTTTCTCCAACTTAACAATGATTTATAAAGCTCTTTCGCTAACTTAACAATGATTTTCAAAACTCTTTCGTCAACTGAACAATGTTTTTACAACCTACCAATGTCGTTCAAATCTCTTTCGCCAACTAAACAATGTTTCTCAAAGTTCTTTCACCAACTGAACAATGTTTTTCAAAGCTTTTTGCCAACCCAACAATGTCGTTCAAAGCTCTTTCACCATCTGAACAAAGTTCTTCAAATCTGTTTCGCCAACTGAACAATGTTTTTTCAAAGTTCTTTCACCAACTAAACATTTTTTTTCAAAGCTCTTTCGCCAACTTTACAATGCTTTTCAAAGTATTTTCACGAGGGAAAAAAAGAGTCACAAAAAGTTATAAATTTTTTATTATTCTCTGAGCCCAGATAATGTAGCGTTTGAGCAACTTTTTAAATATTGAAAACTTAGTCACAAGTGCTTTTCATTTTCCTAAAACTGTGGCTTCTATCCATATTGACATTTTGCAGCCAACATAAAGGGCGCTGGTTAAAAACAGGCTAAACTTGACCTAACAGTAACTGTTGCAAACTCACAGCAGTTATGAAAATAACATATTATTCACAAAAAAAATCATTTCATGTGACGACAGATCCTGTGAAAAACCTTATCTCATATTGTTGATGCTACGAACTCACGAACTCCTTTCCCAAATTTACATTTTTAATAATTTATATCTTGCAATCAAAGTGGAATAGAGAAATTGTTTAGAATATTATTTCATAACAAACTATTCGAATAAAAAAAATCAATTTGACTTGCATGTGATTCTAAGAATGTGTTATTTGTAAAATAAAGCAATGCTTCATTATCTTTATCTTTTGATCATTTCTCTAGATCGTTTGAGAATGATATTTTAATGTAGGATTCTCTCTCTTTCATTACAGATATTCGAAGGAAATACCAACACCTACACCATTGTAAAAAGAATAGTAGATCCACCCATTATTGCATCAAAAATTCGATTTGTGCCCTACAGCGTTCATCTTCGAACAATTTGCATGAGAGTTGAGCTGTATGGTTGTCTTTGGAATGGTAAGAAGTCTTATGTCTACGTTTTGATTGCAGTTTTTAATAAATTGACTCTTTTTTTTAATAATTACTTCAGATATTTACTTCAGATTATTACTTATTTAGATAGTTACCTTAGATATTTTACGTATTTTTAATTACTAATTTGGATAATAACTAATTTAAATAATTATGTTACAATTTTTTTCTTAATTTTTTGTTTTATTAGAGAAAAAAATAACAATACAAGATCTACTTTATGAATCAACATCTAAAAACTTTTCAGAAATAGTTTCTTTAACTTTTTTATTCTGGTTACCAGAATAAAAAAGGCAGTTAACAGAAAAGCAGTACTGCTATTTTAGTTAAAAGAAGAAATCAGAACCCTTGAAATCAAAAGAAAAACTTATGATTCAGATTTTTAAACTTATGATTCAGAAATATCCATAAGACATACCTTGCTTAAAAGTAACATTAAGGTAAGGAAAAGTAAAATTGGTGCTTTTTGTAATATTCGTATAGTCATAAGTTTATTAGTTACTTCACATAACGGTAAAAATCAGTTTAAAAATATACTGGGTGTTTCATTATCAGCACCCTTGATATATATTTTTTAAAATCCTTGTCAAAAATTAAGTAAAAAAAAGTTCACACATTACGGAGGCACAAATCAGTATTTAAGTGATGAGGAAACAGAAAACGTCATAGAAATTTCTCGTTTCGTAATGAGGATCAGTTTGATTCCACGATGAAGCTTAGTGTTTCGAATAAAAGCCTTTCGCTTCCTTTCTATTTCCCGTAGCAATAAAACAGGCTTTGAAATATTCAGTACCGCTTTCCTCAATAGTGAGTCATTAGAATTTGATAACGTTTTCTTCCTCACTTAAATATAAATTTACGTAATCTAATTTGCATCTTTTGGCGCTATTTTTGACGAGGTTTCTAAAAATACATATATTAAGATCAGCCATTACAGAACGCTCAGCAGTCAAGCAACTATATTACGAACTCGAAGAGAGACGCTAAGCATTTCGTGATATACCAGGCTAATGAAAATCCTATTTTAATTCAAAATAATATGTTTTTGTAACAATTCAGTTAAAAAAATAACTGTACTGACATTTTAAAAGTTACATAACATTACTTCAAATAAACATTTATATCAAACAATGTCAATATCTTTAATTTTTATTTAATTTTGCGTTTTTTTTTAATTTTTATTTCTTCTGTTTCTTCATCTTTGTTTTCTGCAGTGTGGAATTTGTTTTTGAAATTTACAGGAAAAAAAACTGTTAGCTGGATTGCCAGTATAAAACCGTTTATTTCACAGAAAAATACACACCCTATTAAGTAGATAAGTACAGTTGTTTTTACAAACTAGATCTGTTATTTTAGCAAAACAAAACAAAAATAACATATAATAAAAAATAACTATAAAGTAACTATGGCAGCACTGTTGTCGGTGCGAGCCAAGAGCAGAATTAGCATGACAAGTCAACCCCTGAATTCGAACCCGGGCGCACCTCGATGGGAGGTCGGCGCTCTGTCCCCTAAGCCACTGCCGCTCTAATGTTTAGTTATGAAGAAGAATCTTCTGTGTGGTTTATAGATGTTTACCTATTTAAATGTTTTTAGTCCTTCCCAATCACCACATACTAAATATGAATGGTCAGCCTACAGTAACTACTTCCTCGTAAATATAAGTTTTTCTTTTATTTTTTATATTTATAAAATAGGTAAGTTTATCCCTATATTAAAAACAAATATTCTTACCATATACACACACCTTTCATGTTAACTTCTTTAAGAATATAAAATTTGATCAATTTCTTCAATACATGGTGACTTCTTCTTCTTATGGTTTTAAGAAATGATTCATACAATTGAGAAAAGGAATAACATTTTTAAGGAAAGGAATTCAAGAAAAGCATTTTAAATTATTCAGAAATCAAGAAAAATATTTTAGTTATTCTATTTTTTCATATTATTATATTTTTATATTATTATATTTTTATATTTTTTTGTGAAATTGAGGTTCACTGAAATCTTTTTTCTTGATATCGAAAAATTCATGTTATCAAAGTTCGTGGTATCGAGGTTCGATTTGATGTATATACATCAAATTATTTATTATAAACTATTAAAGCTAATACGATCAAATTTATTCCAATGGAAGAGGTTTTTTCGATTAGCAACATACCAAGCACGCTATTAATTTAGATTTTTTCATGACATCAAGACATTTTTGTAACCGAAGTTCAGAAAAAGTAATGAAAGATTAAAAGCAAGTGATCTTTAAAAAACAAAATAAAAACTCTACTGAACTTATCCAAATTTTTCATCTTCAAAACTATTTCCAACTGTTAAGTATTTTAAAAATATGTATGAATTTTGATACTTTTAAATCAATTTTCATGTTTATTTTGAAACATTTTCGTAACTTGTCAAACTTTCCAGTCGCATTCATAAATTAGGATAAGCATCTGAAAAACGGAATGACAGTTTGACACCTTTAATTTATTTGTCTCTGTCCCATTTCTCCCAGACGACAGCGAGAAACGATGCCATTCAGAGAAGAACGCAAAAAATATTTCATATTTCGAACGTTTTTTCCCTCTTCTACTTTTTTTTCTCACTCTTCAAGCTTTCGTATATGTTTCGAGAATTTATATCTCAGAAAATAGGCATTTTCAAATATTTCTTTTTTTTTTTCCTGGAAGGGTTGGAACAAAGCATGTTTAAATAGTCTCGTTTTATTATACTTTTACACTTGAGTTATAAGAATAGCAAATTTTAAAATTTTTAAGCTTCTTATTCATTAGAAACAATTATTCTGTGTATTTTATTTATGACAGATATCTTTATTTTTTTTTCAAAGAAAATGAATTGAAAAAAAGTTTGCAGAAGTACTTAAAAATAATATTTTCGAGGACGTACTTAAAATAACTTATTAAAGTATTTTAAATACGTATAGTAATTGTAGTTATAATAATTTAGTATAATAATTTCTTTTTAAAAAAAGCATTAAAAATTATTGAGAAAATTTATTGCTCGAAAACTTTTCTGAAAAAGCATTTAAAGTACTTACTGGTGAGGTATAATATTTTATTTACGTCACACTAGAGCTGCACAATGGGCTATTGGCGACTGTCTGGGAAACGTCCTTGAGGATGATCCGAAGACATGCCATCGCAATTTTGATTCTCTGCAGAGGGGATGACTCCTCTGCTTTGGTAGCCCGACTACCTGCGCACGAAGTCGAGCATTTTACGGAGCATTTTGTTTACGAGCATTTTATTTAGGGTTATTTAAAATAAAATGAAAATTATGTAAATTTTGCTTAAGGGCATTCAAAGTAACAAATAAATCATGTTCATTCAAGTAAATCATGTAAATTTCGCTTGAGGACATTCAAGTAAAATATGACAGGTATCACTTTTTTATTAACTCCTGTAATTAAATTTAAAATATTTGAAAAGAATAAAGTAATACTTTAAATATACAATAACTGACTTTAATATCAAATAAATAATTATAAATAACTAAAAATAATAGTTACGAATTCAAGTTGAAAAGAAGGTCAGTTTATATCACATATGTTTCTGTTTTAACATATTTAAATAAAAATTTAACCAAAATTCTTTAATCAAAATTACATGAAAGAGCTTTTTGTGAAAAAAAAATTACCAAAAACATAACATTTAACAAAAGAAACAATTAAAACGAAACAAGTTATTATAAAGTTCATGTTTATGTGTTGTAAGATTTTATCCCCCACTTAGGAGTTTCTATAAACAATTTAATTTCAATCTTTTTAATAAAAACTGTTATTTCTTTTATTTTATTCTTTTCCCAAATAATTTAGTTTAATTTTGAGAGTTAAAATGAACTTCTGAGAAATTTAGTTAGGTTAATTAATATGAATCTAACACTAAGTGGTTCAAAAAAAATGTGGGATAAAATATGATATTTGATTATATACATTCATGTATGTAAATATTGATATATTGTGTACATAAATATGATGTTTAAACATTATTTTTGAAACTTACTGCTTATTCAATCTTAAACAAAAAAAATATGCAAATTGTTGCACATCTTAATTCGGTGACAATTTAAAAAATCCTAATTCGATTTCAGTTGGAATTAATCATTTTCATTTTAGAAAAATAATCCTCCGCAAAATTTAGTTCCGATATTAATTAAACTAAAATGTTAATTATATGCATGAATAATCAATAATTAAGAACCATCATGAGTGAATTTATTACAAGATTAATCCCTTCCTTTTTTTTTATTAAGATCCTTTACAAAACAACCTTACCAATTAAATTTTTCCAGTTTTAAAAATTTAAGTAGCTTGAACTCAAAAGAAGAATTTTTAAAAATAAAATTAAGAAATTTTTTTTTTAATTTTTACTCATCATGAAACTTATCTATACTTTGAGAATCATTAAATGCCCTAAAAAGAAGATTTAGAAATAAGACATTATATTATTTTTCATAAAAAGCAATTCATTTTATATAATGAAGCATTGAAAAAAAATACAGTGAGTATAAAGTTTTTGTGTACGTTTTGTATTTTCGATCTTTGAACTATTTTATTTTATGGGAAGATATTTTCTAAAATGAATACAGCAATGAATTATCAAATCTATTAAACTTAGTGGGGTAGAAAAATAAAAAAATTAAAAACAAGTTAAAAATATCTTTTTACTTCTACATTGTTTTCTAATCACCACTCTTGTTATTTTTTTAAAAAGCGTTTTTTAAAAATGAAGTGAAAATAATATAAAAATAAGTAGACTCGTATTAAACTAAAAAATAACTATCATATCATAATATTATTATCATAATCTGATGAAACTCTATTAAATAAAACTCTATTTAAGCTATCAAAACCAGTCTGATTGCCTGGTGAGATTTGATAATGTTTTTCATGATGGCTTTCAGTTCATCTCAATTTCGTTTGGCAATCATGTGAAATTTGATATTTTTAATCTTTCTTTCTTCCATAGTTATTC